TATTTATCTTTTTTCTTTTATTTGGACAAAATGTAGTGTATGATTTCAAGTATTTCAGATGTTTTTTATACTTTCTTTTTTCAATTTCTAACTAAGTTTTTTTTTTTCTAGCACATTGTTAAAAAAAAGGGGGGGAAATTAATATTATGTATAGGGAAAAATTAGTCAAAAGCATTCATTAAATAGTAGTTAATTTATAATTAGTTTTTGGTAATGAGTTTATACTCACAATTCTAAAAAATCGTAGGTATAAGTTAATGTTATACCCATAATTATACGTGATTGAAGGTACATCCTTTTTGTATACCTACAATTTTTTATGTGTGTGAGTAAATCTTAAATTCATATACCCATGAACTGCACAATGTAATTAATAACTTTTCTATGTACCTACACCAATTTAAATTACATAGATATATTCTAATTTTTCTTACGATTTTTTTGTGGGTATAGCTATAATTTATCTATATACCCACAAATCATAAATCATAACTAGTAGAACCCTGTACCCATGAAATAGTGAGCATAGGTATATGACAAATATGTTATAGTAAAAGTTTCAAATTCTAAAATTGAAAAACGTCCTTCAAAAATTTCAAGAATTGTGAATGAAGATAAAAATGAAGACATTGATATTAACAATTTAGAGTGAGATTCAAGATTACATCCTCAAATATGGTAAAATTGATAATTAGTTATTAAATTGATTTTTTATATTATATTACTATATTTTATATTATTGTGAACTTGATTGAAAAACCCTTTTTTAGTCCCCATTACATTTTGTCGAGCTCCATCACGGACTATAACTTATGCAAGATAAGCCTAATTAAATAGTCCAAAAACTTATCTTTCAATATTTCCATGTCATGGTAATGTGACATTGCCTACCAAAGTCATGTTAATCATGTTACCAAGTTTTGTGGGAATGATAATGCAAAAGTCCTGGGCATGTAATTGTAACTTGATTAACCAAATGAATCTATTTGGAAAAAAAAAAAAAGGGGGTGGGGGGGGCAGTTCCACATTATCATGAAAAAGATGACGTGAACTGCTTCAGGAGCTCTACTGGTGGAAATCCCAAAAATGAAGCTTATTGGTCGATTTTTCTTAGCTCACCTTCTTTTTACTGAGTGTAACGGGTTTTGAGTCTGAATGTTCCCTTCCCCCTTATAAACTCCAATAAAAAGGAAAAATTAAGCTCCTTCTTGAAAAAAGTAATAATGGATTGTATTGAAAGATCACATTTTAAAAAGTTTTTGTTACGGGTTGGAGTGTCTCAAATTCCGTCACAAATTAATAAAAATTAAAATTTTCTGTTAAAGAGTAATTGAAAAAGTGAAAAGTACTTTGTTATGATATTTTTTTTTTCGGCCCCTGATGTTCCGTTGATATTAGAGTCCAAGATTGTGATTTCTATAAAAACCGGGGAAGCTATGGAGCATTCTCGCAGACCTCTCCAATTCCAATTTTCTACCATTTTCATTTCTTTGCAAAGAGAAAAATGAGTTCTGTTGAAAAGACAAAACCGCATGTGGTATGTGTCCCATTTCCAGCACAAGGCCATATTACACCCTTCATGCAGCTAGCCAAGCTACTACACTACAGAGGTTTCCACATAACCTTCGTCAACACAGAGTTCAACCACTGCCGCTTCATCCGCTCCAGAGGTAAGGACGCCGTCCATGGCCTGCCGGATTTCTGCTTTGAAACCATTCCCGATGGGTTACCACCATCTGATCGCGATGCAACGCAGGACGTTGCACCGCTCTGTGATTCCACCAGAAAGAATTGTTTCGTACCTTTCTTGGGGCTGCTTGGTAAGCTGAATTCACAAGTACCACCGGTCACCTGCGTTGTCTCCGATGGAGGTATGGGCTTCGGTGTGAGAGCTGCTGAAGCACTTGGTATACCGGCCGTTCAACTTTGGACTGCCTCTGCTTGTGGCTTTATGGGATATTTGCAATATAGTGAATTGTCTAAAAAAGGCATTGTTCCATTCAAAGGTACCTTCGATATTTCTTCTTCTAGAATTTACATAGTATTGTTTAGCAGCTTGTTTAACTTGAGGGATGGAGAGCGTAGGTGAGGAGAGGAGTGATAAGTTTTCATATTTAGCAATAATATTGGAGAGAGGAGGCGAAGGGAGAGTAGCCTTCTTTGACAACTTTAGCATAACTAAATGAAAGAAGTGGATAGGAGGGAAGCCAAGGAAAATGAAAGGATATTGTCTCCCCTTCCCTCCCTGCGTTTACTCAAATCAAACATGGGGTATAATTTAAAACAAAACTTTCAATAATGATGTCTTTAAAATAGGTTTCAATTTGAAATTCTGAAACTATATTATCTCAGGATTTAGGTCCCAATTTTATTTTGTAATTTGCCTCTCCTTTTTGGTGTTCTTCAGATGAAAATTATTTGATTGATGGTACACTAGAAACCCTATTGGATTGGGTTCCTGGAATGAGTAACATGAGATTAAGGGATATTCCAAGCTTTATCAGAACCACCGATCCAAACGACATAATGTTTGATTTCGTGAGATCAGCAGCCGAAGACTGCTTGAAATCACCGGTGATTGCTTTCAACACATTCGACGAGCTCGAATATGAAGTCCTGGAGGCAACTGCAGCCAAGTCCCCTTCCATTTACACAATTGGACCACTTCTCCTCTTATCCAGGCACGTTCCTGAAACTAAAGTCAAGTCACTCAGGTCTAGCCTATGGAAGGAGGATTTTGACTACATCAAGTGGCTAAATGGAAGAGCAGAGAACTCCGTTGTGTACGTGAATTACGGTAGCATAACAACGATGAGCGAAGAGCACTTGAAGGAATTTGCATGGGGACTTGCAAATAGCAAATACCAGTTTCTTTGGATCCTCCGGTCTGACGTTGTGACAGGATTGGGTTCTGCAATTCTGCCTGGCGAATTCTGTGATGAGATTAAGGATCGAGGGATGATAACGAGTTGGTGCCCACAAGACCAAGTGCTTAGTCACCCGGCCGTCGGGGTTTTCTTGACACATTGTGGGTGGAATTCTATAATGGAATCAATTTGTGCAGGCGTGCCAGTGATCTGTTGGCCATTCTTTGCTGAGCAACAGACAAATTGTCGGTACGCTTGCACCACATGGGATATTGGCATGGAGATTGATCCTGACGTGAAGCGAAGTAACATTGAGGTTCTTGTGAAGGAGATGATGGAAGGAGATGAAGGAAAGCGGAGGAGGGAAAAGGCTCTAGAATGGAAAAAGAAGGCGAAGACAGCTACCGATGCAGGAGGATCTTCTTATCAGAATTTTGATCGGTT